GTCAAACCTTCAAACACCCCCATACACAGCACAAATGGCTTGAAGCAAAGGGAAATTTCGCTTGGTTTGTCAAACCGCTTGTGTGGTGTATTTCGCTCTTAACTATTTGATGGTTCATCGCCAGCGATATATCCTGCTACCTATCTCCTGCGATTGCTATGGGCGGTAGAGTTTGAACGATACTATCGATATTGAGTAAGTATCGATACTGTGGTTATAAAAATGAGTACTTTAATACTCGATACCTTAATTGGTGATTTTACTCGATACTTTGCAAAGTAGTCGTAGTGTCGAATACTTATTAAAAAACAGACTTTTTAAATTTTTTCTTCCATTGGCGACCCAATTTTCTTTGCTTATATGGATTACTATCATTCAATTTTGTCCATCACTTAAAATAAACTGAAATTGCGTGTAGTCTGTTGTATAACATAAACCAAATAAGTTAAAGTTTAACGGCCTTATTCATAAAAAATAAAGTAGNGTCGTAGTATCGAATACTTATTAAAACACAGACTTTAAATTTTTTCTTCCATTGGCAACCCAATTTTCTTTGCTTATATGGATTACTATCATTCAATTATGTCCATCACTTAAAATAAACTGAAATTGCGTGTAGTCTGTTGTATAACATAAACCAAATAAGTTAAAGTTTAACGGCCTTATTCATAAAAAATAAAGTAGGTTTAAAGGGCGTAATAAAGTTACATTTTCATAAATTTTTCAGTTTATATACCTTTTTTATTTTTTATGAATAAGGCCATAAAACTTTACGCAAAGTTCACGAAAATGCACAATTTTTAGAAACTTTTTGGGTATGCAGTTTTGTAACCTATTCAAGTTTACGTGTAACCTACTACCGTTGAGTTTTAATCCAAACTTCCACATTATTATACTAAAATTCAACAGGACACAAAAAGTTTACAAAAAATTTCTTAATAAAATTTGAATTCGTGAAAGTATATATATATGTATATATATATATATATATATATCGTCGTTTAAAGTGAAAAACCGCGTATCAACAAAATGCAATACCGCGTATCAGCAAAATGCAAAACTGCGTATGTAAAGTTGTAGAAATTATTTTCTAGAGTGTAAAAACACTCATATTTCAAAATGGTTTTCTTTTTTATAAAGTAATCGCAATTCTAGCTAGTGTATTTCAGAACGAATGGATAAGGATTGAGTCATGAAAATCAAATATTTTAAATTTCTGTTGTTTTAATTTCAGGAAATAACTAGATATACGATTGAAGAATAAAATAATTTAAGTATTTTAATGAGTCCGATACTGAGTAGTATCTATACTTTTTCCCTGATACTTTTAGAGTATCGATACCATGAGCTCGATGCCAGAATGAGTACTCAGTATCGATACCAAGGTCTGAAATTTCGAACCCTAATGGGNTAATCGCAATTCTGGCTAGTGTATTTCAGAACGAATGGATAAGGATTGAGTCATGAAAATCAAATATTTTAAATTTCTGTTGTTTTAATTTCAGGAAATAACTAGATATACGATTGAAGAATAAAATAATTTAAGTATTTTAATGAGTCCGATACTGAGTAGTATCTATACTTTTTCCCTGATACTTTTAGAGTATCGATACCATGAGCTCGATGCCAGAATGAGTACTCAGTATCGATACCAAGGTCTGAAATTTCGAACCCTAATGGGCAGTCTCCACAAGCGACAGTAAATAATGGGTAGGCTTTAAAGTGCCATACCCTCTCCCCCACCGGCCAATTCCAAAACACAAACCAATGTACAAAGATTGTGAACATTTCCCCTAATTTTAAACGAGTATAATAAACACCAATATTGGAACAAGTGTTAGNTCCCACCGGCCCCATCCTCTACACAAACCATTGTACAAAGATTCTGAACATTTGCCCTAATTTTAAACGAGTATAATAAACACCAATATTGGAACAAGTGTTAGAATTGCAATAGCAAATTACCGACCACTACTGATTTTTTAAATCTCTAGCTGGCGATTGTCAACTAATCAGCTGTTCGCTGTAGGAAAAACAAAAGTTTGAGTTGCGGTTAATTTGTCCAAATAAATCTTTTTCGTTTACAAATTATTCCTATTAGATTTTCAACGATATTTGAGCACAGTATGGCATAGGAAGTGAATTGTTCGATAACTGGGAAAATATGCAGGCCAAAATGTACGGCCGGTTGCCAAAATGAAAAAATAAAAATTGTTTTATACTGTGATCATTTGTGTGTCTGCTTGTAATGCAAATACGCGATTTCGACTGAACAAACCAAAGTTATTGGCACCGGAAATTATTCCCTGGCCTAGCGAGATAAGCACGCCTCAATACTCGCGCGTATTTGTTATTAGTAATTGAACAAATAATACCGATCGAGTTGCTGTGGCGCATATGTAGCTCAAATGAAAAACAGAGGGATATCTATAAATTGTGTAAAATTTGACAAGAACTATAAATAAGTTTCTTGCATTCTTAAAATGGGCATTTGGAGGCATTTTAAAGGCAGAAATTTTCCCTTCGCTAAGCGGGTGCTTCTCCTTCTAACGCTACTTGTTGGCTTTGCTATAACTTGGCTCATAAATGTAAGTAAAATATGCCATGTTATGTACGAAGAGAAAAATATTCGCTTTTAATATAAAATAGACATCTTCATTTCACATCTGGGCACGCAAGAAATATGCGCCGAATCCCGATAGCTCGCCATGTGTAGTACTCTGGTGGACTGACAATGGATTGGGAAAATATGAGCCGCGTCCAATTTTGTGCGGCTACAACGCATGTTTTTCGACTGGCGATCGACGATATCTATCAAGAGCCAAGGTGAGTTTGAAGCAGCTGCTATTTTTATTTTGTTGAAAAACATATTTTTATTGTGAGACAGGCGATACTCTTTTATGGCAGCAATGTGCAGTGGAATGACTTGCCACTACCTCGTAAGCCAGGCCAGATCTGGGCGTTATTGCATGAGGAGTCTCCGCGCAATGTACCAGTGTTTATGTATGAGGATATTATACAACATTTTAACTACACATCGACATTTAGTCGCTATAGCGATTTTCGATTGACAACACGAGAACTGCCCAGTTTACAAGCAATTGTTGATCCACGTTTTGTAGTGCCGCTCGGAAGAAAAAATGTTGCGCGTGCTAATTTAGCTCCGGCGATTTTTCTACAATCAGACTGCCTCACGATGTCGGCAAGAACAGATTATGTTGTGGAACTGATGAAGTATTTGTCAATAGATTCGTATGGAGATTGTTTGAAAAATCGAGAGATCCCAGAGAGGTAAGAAAGCCAGGTCTTGAACGATATGCTAGTGCCGTAGAAGGGTACCACTCCTACACTATAAGAATAGATGTACATAGTACTTAATTACTAATAGGAAGTAATGGTAGTAGTGGCGTAGCTTCTACAACCATCGGACATGCAAATACTGCACGCTTCATCCGGATATCGTAGAAACGAACTCATTCATAAGCACGACTACGAAAAGATTATCTGAAAAAGTTTTTAGCTGTATAGATACATTTGTTTTTATTTCATACATATATTAAAGTGGACAGTAACAACACTTGCATACTCGTTAATTACACGCTAAGTCCCCATTTCGAAATTACTTCCTAAGCATAGTTTCAAAATTTGTTGGCATTGCCTTCAAATCGGCCAACCCCATCATAGTTCCCTGAAATCCTGCTGACGGACTCATCCTTTATCTGTAGTGATTGTTGTGTTGGCTGAGTTAAATCTAACAATACTGTGCCTCCAATTGACCCACTACTCGCCACCATCCTCCCAGCTGTGTCAGTTGCGTTCAAATTTAACACCGGCACTGCGTTGTCCGACACTACGGTTGGAGCTTGCGTTGCCGAATCGACACGATCTTCAAATGAATTGCTTTCCTCTGTAGCGGTTTTCGATTTCTCACTGCTTGTACCGGAATCTCCAGAAGATGGCGAATTCATCGACGCAGCACTCGAATCTTCCGTACCGCTACCCTTTTTCGCAGGCACCGTCTTCCCAGCGGCAGTCTTCTTCGTCTTGGCTGCATCCTGCAGCTCTGAGTTTCTTACAGATTGTTGCGTTGGAGTTTTCTCACATCGAACATTCCATCTACTCTTTGCTTTATCGAATTTTGCCTTTTGAACGTTCCCATCAATCAAGCCAGAGCGCGTATTGCCCTCACCATCGAATAGCGGATTCTTGTGCAAAATGAACGTGCTAATTGGCGGCGTTAATGTATGCTCCTGACTGCATTGCTGTTGACGGCTCTCCTCGTTATCGCTCATCATTTGCACTTCTGCTATGGGTAATTCAGTCGCACAGCATGGTATTTCTATTGCAGCATCGGGCATGCGTAACTGGCTGCCAGTTTTCGGTACATAAGAGTGGCTCTTGTTGCCTTCGCTTTTGTTGCGTTGACGACTGCGACAACTACGACGTATGCGCATGGAACGCCGCAGTGGTAACCACTGGAGTATTGAGATCGGCTGTACAAGCGTATTCCAAACAGCATACGTACCAACGCCAATAACGGCATTGCGACTAGTGTGACCGCTGCGTACCTCATGACTGCGACTGCGATTGTTGAGAATGTGGGCGCGCGTATGACGTGATTGGACACGTGATGGACCGCCTCTGTAAGGATGTTGTTGCGGCTGGGCGCGTTCGACTAGGCTTGCCAGATCCACAAGTTCCTTGTGCGTGCGGCGTTGACGTGGCATACTTTGCTTTGTATCTGCCCGTTGCTGACGTCAGTTGGGAGGCAGTCGTATGGGCGATGCGTTAGTCAGTAGTAGAGACGTGGTTTGTAGTTTTTTTTAAATCTCGCCAACTTAGCAAAAAGTAGTTCTAATTTATTTTTAAATATCCTTTATGGTTTAATGCAATGCAATATATTTTTTTTAAACTACTTTTCATAAAATTTAGGAATGCAAATTACAAATAAATTTATTTTTTCTATATGAATTTGAAATCATTGAACATTCGATTCGAAACACACCTGTGCAACGAAGGGAGTTTTGAAAGNCTTTATGGTTTAATGCAATGCAATATAATTTTTTTAAACTACTTTTCATAAAATTTAGGAATGCAAATTACAAATAAATTTATTTTTTCTATATGAATTTGAAATCGTTGAACATTCGATTCGAAACACACCTGTGCAACGAAGGGAGTTTTGAAAGTGAAGTTTGGGCGGCATAAAAAGGGAGTAGAATCCGCGCTACCTGGAAGATACATAAAGCGACGCAGGTTGTAGCCATCAACACGACACCAACTAGCCCTCTAAGCTAATACTCCCTTTCCTAACACACACAACCGCACCACCACTCACACGCCGCCGCCAACCACTCCTGGTTCCCCCTACAATCTGCACGGTATGTCAGACCAGGATATTCCGTAATGTGACATCAATCAAGTGCAACACCTGCCTTGGCTGGTGCCACTTTAGGGCATGCTCAGGTCTGCGCACCACGCGAGATTGGACGGGGAACTTCGAGGGCCCGTGTTGCGCTGCTCGGTCGCAGACTCCAATTGCGACGCCCCCCACCACCACCACAGGGCGGCAATCACCTCAGCAGCACACACAGCCAACGGCGGCAAGAACATACACTTCACTTACACCCCACATCACGACACGTCTCCCGAACCACATGAAGCTCCTTCAATTTAACTGCAACGGGCTACAGAGCAAGATTGAGGAGATAACCGTCTTCATGTGTCGGCATGGTATATTGATAGCTGCGGTCCAAGAGACGAAGTTGCACAGCAATTCAACTTTGTTGAATTGCGCCGGGTACAACGTGCACCGTCGAGATCGCGAGCGAGATAATGGTGGTGGCTTAGCGTTCATCACGCACCACACCGTGCAGTATCGTCTTATCGAAGCAGACATCGACCGCAGGGATACCACCCTAGAATGTCAGGGCATCGCTATCCGGTCAGGCGATGTCGAGCTCGAAATATTTAACATATACATACCCCCTGTCACCTGCTGCCCGGCAGGATATCACCCTGATATAGGTGCGCTCCTCAGAGGTGAAAACCGTATGGTAGTAGGTGACTTTAATGCGCACCACGATCTTTGGCACTCAAGCCTGTCAAACGATCGTAGGGGAACAGACTTGGCTGAGCAGATAGACGATTCGACATTCTGCACAATGAACGACGACGCACCCACCAGGATTATGGGTAACTGCAGTAGCTCGCCAGACATCACAATAGTCAGCGCTGGTCTGATAAACAGCATAACGTGGCGACCTATGCTGACTCTAGCATCAGACCATCTACCCATAGTCATCTCGATAGATAAACCAACCGACTTTGCCTCCGCCGAACACCGGACCTATATCAACTTTTCTAAAGCTGATTGGAAAGGTTACGCGGAGTTTACCGAAAACACCTTCGCAGCGCTCCCCACACCAACCGACGTCCATCTCGGTGAACGTAAGTTCCGCAGGGCTATCACTGCTGCTGCAGCTCGCTTCATACCGGCAGGATGTATATCGGACCCACGTCCAAACTTCCCTGCCGAAGCGGCTGTTCTAGCCGATGAGCGTGATAGCCTTCGTCAGGCCGATCCCGGAGATCCCCGTATCAGGGATCTCAACGCGGAGATTCGGCAACTTGTAAACGTACATAAGCGGAAGAAGTGGGAGGAGCATCTGAAGACTTGTAATTTCACCTCTGGTGTGAGCAAGCTTTGGTCAACCGTGAGGTCATTGTCTAATCCGACGAAGCACGACGACAGAGTCGAAATTTCCTTCGGCGACCATGCTTCGTCGGACCCGGAGCGATGCGCGAGCTATTTTAGCCGGCAGTTCATACTGCATCCTCCGGTGGACAAAGCCAAGCGTCGAGTGACCAGAAGGCTGCACAAACTGCCAACAACTTGTGCCCCCCTTGCTTTCACTTGCGGTGAAGTTCAGGTGGCCATCGGGAAGGCGAAAGCCTCCAAAGCCATGGGTCCCGACGGAATATGCATGCTGATGCTGAAAAATTTGGGTCCTGCGGGGGTAGCGTACCTAACGGAGGTCCTCAACTTGTCAATGGCCACTCTCATCATCCCAGACATCTGGAAGGTGGGGAGAGTGGTCCCACTGCTCAAACCGGGGAAACCCGCCAACAAAGGAGATTCGTATCGTCCGATTACACTCCTTTCCCCGGTAGCGAAGACACTCGAGGCCTTGCTACTCCCGTACTTCACAAACCACCTGACCCCAGCGAAGCATCAGCATGGTTTCCGTAAAGTGCACAGTACAACAACAGCACTTAACGCCATAAACACTCAGATAACTCGTGGCCTTAACCGAAACCGTCCCTGTGAGAGAACGATTCTAGTAGCGTTGGACTTGTCAAAGGCGTTTGACACCGTCTGCCATTCCACGCTACTAGAAGATATAGAGGCCTCCTCTCTCCCACAGAGGCTCAAACGGTGGTCGGCAAATTATCTGAGTGGTCGACATTCGTCGGTAACATTTAGAGACAAAACGAGTAAGCAGCGAAAAATAAAACAGGGGGTTCCTCAGGGTGGTGTCCTTTCCCCGCTACTGTTTAACTTTTATATTTCAAAGCTCCCTCAACCACCAGAGGGAGTCTCGATTGTCTCCTATGCCGACGACTGCTCGATCATGGCGACTGTGAACGGAATTGATGACCTGTGTTCGAAAGTAAACGGCTATCTCTCCGAACTTTCTCGCTTCTTCACTGCAAAGTGTCTAGCCCTCTCCCCTACGAAATCCTCCGCGACCCTGTTCACAACCTGGACGAAGGAGGTCAGGCTACCGCTGGGGATTCACGTCGATGACACACCAATTCCGACGGTGAATAACCCCAAAATACTCGGAGTAACATTCGACAGCCTGCTCTCCTTCTCTGCGCACTCAACCGCTATTGTCAATAAAGTACAGAGCCGCAACAAGGTCCTCAAGTCGCTAGCCGGCAGTACTTGGGGCAAAGACAAAGAAACGTTGCTGGCAACATACAAGGCAATAGGCCGGCCGGTTTTGAACTACGCAGCGCCAGTGTGGTCGCCAGGGACTAGTAGGACGCAGTGGACGAAGCTACAGACTGTACAGAACACCGCACTCAGGACAGCGACAGGATGCCTCTTGATGTCGCCTGAACACCACCTGCACGGCGAGGCGCAAATGCTCCCTGTAAAGGAGCATAATATAATGCTCTGCAAGCAGTTCCTGATCGGGAGCCACAGAAGTGGCCACATAAGCAGACAGCTGCTTGCAGAGGAGCCCTCGCCTAGGCACGTCAGGAGGCATCTATATGAACTAACGGACGAAGTCCAGAGGTTCATTAAGCAACCTCTGGACCCGACAGCCTTACAGACAGGCCTCTGAACGGCATTCACAGGGACTCAGTCTCGAGTTATGTAGACTCTAGACCTGTGAATGCCGTTCTGGCATCACCACCCCCGGACATGACGAGACGGAGCTTCATCTGCCTCGGGAGACCGCACAACACTCGCACAACTTCGCTCCGGCTACTGCAGCAGGTTGAACTCCTACCTGAGTAGGTGAATGAGGATGTGCCTGAATGATGTTCGGCATGCGGAGAGGACCCCACATGACTCGAAACATCTCTTCGCATGCCCGGAAAACCCGACACCCTAACGGCCTTGTCCCTGTGGACAAACCCCACAGAAGCTGCACGCTTCCTAGGGTTGCCGTTAGTGGAACTTGACGACAACGACTGAGATACCAACCGATCTGGGCGGGGTTGTTGTAGCCGCTACAACAACAACAACAACATCTCTATGGACGATATCCTTATCTACCAAACAACCTTTGAACCAGACAGTGTAATTTTGCTAACCCTGTATTGAGAATAACTCCGGTCTTTTACCGATCCTTGCGTAGTTTCCACTACCCACATTAATATGCCCTTATGCTTTATAGTCAGTAAGGATTTGTATTCCATTTGATTAAATAAATAAATATATAATAGATGTACTTTACTTGCTACCGCTCCCAGTATAGTTAAGTTTTGCTGCTACAACAACAATTGCATTCATAATAATCTATTTTGTCTTCCATTTTCAGTTTACAAACAGATTTTCTTAATCATTTGTACTCAAATAGTATTAAACGCTTTATCGGACAATATAAATTCATGATCAGTATTGAAAATGGCATATGTGAAGATTATATAACCGAAAAATATTGGCGTCCTTTGATAGCTGGAGTTGTACCCATTTATTTTGGATCACCAACTATACGGGTAAGCCACATACACATACGTGGACATTAAACACATACATACATACCAACATTATTTCTAAATTCTCAACCCAACAGGATTGGGAGCCCCACAATCGCTCTGCAATTTACATCTCTGACTTCGAAGGTCCAAAAGAGTTGGCCAAGTATATACTAGAATTGGATCGTAATGATACTGAATATGTTAAATATTTGCGGCACAAATACAATCAAATTAATCCCGTAACCAATGAACGTCTGTCTGATGAAATGTTTTTGCGCACAGAAACTGTGGATTTATTTGCCAATTTGGAATGTCAAGTACTGGAAGCAATGTGGGCACAGACGCCAAAATCGAAAATGGCCAATCGCCTTCATTATAATTGCCCGCTGCCAATACCCTATCCAGCAATGGAAAGCCAGCAGCTAGAAATAAATTTTTGGAAAGATATTATATTGAAATCATCTTGCTTATCGAAAGCTCTAAATGAGTTGCTACATATAAATCGTAATTTCACACAAAAAGAATTGGATCAATTGACAGATTACAAGGCGAAAAATGAGTTGTGCTAATAGGCGCTATTAAATGTTGCCGTTTGCAGTAAATTGAATGTAAATACTGTACAGAAATTCTTTGTTCAAACTTATGTATTTAAACCTGAATAATTTGTGATACCGAGCGCCATTGTATTTGAAATTTTATTTAAATATTTTACAAATGTTTACCATGACTAAATGGACTGTAAATTAATGCATGTACATACTTATATACTATTTTGTTTATTTAGTGCAGTGTACCTCAGCAGAAATACACCGCCTAACAATAGATTTGAAAGCAGCGTTTGTTTAATTTATAGCAGACTTTCCAAAACGCTAATTTGGATACATGAAATCACTGTTACACTGTGTCAGAACCTGCTTTACATCGCATCATTTCAAGAAATGCATTAAAAATCCTTAGACAAAAAAAAAATCCTTCAGGAGTGGAAATATATGTCTGATGCGTCAGTGTCGCGCTGCTTGGCTGTAGCATGGGCGCATGCGAGTTGCTTTTGGTAAGTGTTTCAGTTAAGTTTAATACTATTTTAAAAATAAATTAAATTACTAATTATATTTTCCGTTTAGCTACACCTTTCCAATCAACAACCTGTAGAGGAGCAGCCACTTAGAATTTTTACACCACGCATACTACTGTGGTGGACTTCATGCAATGAGACATTATTCTAGTGCGAATCCTATTGTGGNGGCATGCGAGTTGCTTTTGGTAATTGTTTGAGTTAAGTTTAATACTATTTTAAAAATAAACTAAATTACTAATTATATTTTCCGTTTAGCTACACCTTTCCAATCAACAACCTGTAGAGGAGCAGCCACTTAGAATTTTTACACCACGCATACTACTGTGGTGGACTTCATGCAATGAGACATTATTCTAGTGCGAATCCTATTGTGGATTTGACGTTTGCACAGTTACCAATGATCGTAGACGCCTAGGTGAAGCCCAGGTATAGTTTAAACCATACTTATATACATATTTATGTAATCTTTTTACAAATGGCGAATCTTTTCTACAAAAAATGTTACTTTTGCATTGCCCCCTCCTTAGTATTTGAGCGCAGAGGACACGGAGAAGACAAAATTTTTTCTGTAGAAAATAAAACGCCATAACACTCCGCCTTTCACATTTCCACAGGTAATTTTTTCATGGTAGTGATATAAATGTTCATGATATGCCATTGCTGCGCCATTTCAATTACATCTCTACATTCAGTCGCTTTAATGATTTTCCCTTGATTCCTTCAAAACTACCCGATATACGTGCATTCATCAAGTCGATTTGGTTACCTTGAATNCAATTTTTTCTGTAGAAAATAAAACGCCATTACACTCCGCCTTTCACATTTCCACAGGTAATTTTTTCATGGTAGTGATATAAATGTTCATGATATGCCATTGCCGCGCCATTTCAATTACATCTCTACATTCAGTCGCTTTAATGATTTTCCCTTGATTCCTTCAAAACTACCCGATATACGTGCATTCATCAAGTCGATTTGGTTACCTTGAATAATAGAAGCTGATAGAATTTCATAGTGCATATTTGCATAGTGAAATTCATTTGTAATGTTAAATAAACTTGCAAACTTAAATAGAAAAAGCCCTCCTACAAGGCATGTTGTTGTTGTTGTAACAGCATACAAACTCCCCAAAGACTTTTTGGNTTGATTCCTTCAAAACTACCCGATATACGTGCATTCATCAAGTCGATTTGGTTACCTTGAATAATAGAAGCTGATAGAATTTCATAGTGCATATTTGCATAGTGAAATTCATTTGTAATGTTAAATAAACTTGCAAACTTAAATAGAAAAAGCCCTCCTACAAGGCATGTTGTTGTTGTTGTAACAGCATACAAACTCCCCAAAGACTTTTTGGGGAGTGTTGCTGGAGTGACAGTCCTTGGCCAGATATAAATCTGGGTCGTTCCGGTTACGTAGACCCGACTGTCGTGGGAACGTCCTACAAGGCATGCAGGGAAGCACTTTTTCAACCCTTCTCGGGTAAGCCATTTAGAATGGCTTCACTTAAGGAGACCTACCTAAATTATATTCTGGGTTCTCATAAATTGTAAATAGGAAACGGCCTTCTAGAAAGCATGCATCGAAGCCTTTTTAGCCCTTTTACCTACCATATTTATCTTCTGGGATACGTTAGCAAGTTAAACAATTAAGGGCCATTTTCACAGTTGAGAGTTAAAGGACAATTTTCGGTGGGAAAATGTTCATAATACTTCTGGAAATAGGTACGCTGAAAATTCGTTTCTAAATTCAAAAGTTCGAAAATTTTAAGTTCTGTTCTGCATGTTTTCTTTACTCATTCGTCGTATGGTTATGGTGATGTAAGGGTAGGTCTTCAGGCCCATTGCACCGCGCTTACTCGTCCGTCTTAAATATATATAGATTTTTGAAATACCTTTGATTTATTGAAATTTAATAACAAATATAAAGTTTTATGGCAACCTATTAATTTTTTTTTAGTAATTTGATTGCAAAAGATCTAAAATTTTATTTAGTTTAATAATTTTTTCCGTAACTTATTTGTCATTAAGTATTGTATTCATAAAATTATTACTTATTCCATAAAATATTATAGTTTTGTAGTTTTAGGGAATGTTGCAACACATTTCCCCCGATAAATATATAGATATAATATACATCTGGTCTAGTATGCCTTTAAAACTCATCACAAGCTCTGGTCTAACTCTGAAGCCCTAATAC